ATTTTGAAAACGTTGTACAACTTTTTCTTTGTCAACACTTTTGAATATATCTTTTTCAATAAAAGTAACTAAGGCATCATTCATCATAGCATCCTCCATTCGATTGCGCAACCTGTTCTTCACGATCTTCATGGCTGAGAAAGCTCTTTCCACGGTTGCGGTGGCCACCGGTAAAAGCAAAGCTAATTTCACAAGTAAAAAAACTAATGGATACACAATATGTTTCTTTGTCTCCACCAATTTTTGAGCAAGAGAACCAACTTCTGTAATATCTATAAATGCAGAGTTGGAGCGCACATCAAGAATAAAAGTTTCAAGTTGACTATCAAGAGCAAGAACATCTACCGGTGAAAAGTCAAAAGGATATAATCGAGCCATACGAATCAACTTGTCCTTGTCAAAAGATGAAAAAGTGTCTTTAGGACTAAGGCAAGCCACACAAAGAAGCAATTCTGTAGTAATTTCTGTGAATCGATTGTTCAATTCTTCGCGTTGTCTATCCACCACTACATAGAACAAGTCCACTTTGTAACGATGTAAGTTTGTGATTTGGATAACATTGTGACGGACTCTCCCATGAGTTACATAAAAATCATTCATACTTGGAATTGAAATTTTATTCTTTTCACAAAAAGAAGAAACTTCACCAAAGAGATTATCCCATCCTCCGCCTCTTAAATTTTGCAATCGTTCTTTGGCAACTTTAACCAAATAGAATATCCCATCCCCCGTCGTAGACAGGGGCGGACTGACGGAGGACGGCTGGACGGGAGGAGCGACCTGTGACCGTGGGTTTTTTATTTCAGCTGGGAATTGGGACTGCGAATCTGCGATTTGGGCACCCAGGGACTTCGTTTTTTTCTTTTTGCAATTGCCTTTGCTGACTTTTCAATTCTCCTTGCCTTTGCTGACTTTTCAATTTGGTGTTCCAACTTTTAAACTTTTTAAATTGACCCCCACTTTTTTAAATGTTGGATGGTGTCCATATATAATTTATGAAAGATTATTTATACCTATATAGAGAATTTTTATTTTTCAGTGGTGTCAATTTTAGATTTTAATTTTTTTTTATATACCTACCTATGAAAAAAAAATCCAGTGGTGTCAAGTGACACCACTTGCCAAAGGGTGGCTCCGCCACTGGCGGGCTTTATTTGGCGTTGTAAAGATGCCGGTGCCCGGCCGACCCTAGATTTATTTCACCAATTTTTAAAGTAGCCCCCCCAACAAACACACGGTTATTTGGCTACTAGTACCCGAATGGGACATATCCTGTTTAAGGGCAATCCGACTTCAATCAAGGGGTGGAAAGATCGGTTCTTCTTTATGTCTGTTCCGGACGGCCTGATTCCCCGCAAATGGAATGCCTTCCCTCGCAAATCTCCCGATCCAGTCCTTACTGAGGAAATCTACAAGGATGTGTTCGTTGTGGAGAAGGACAAATGTGTAGATATCATGAGTTACTTGACTCCCGATCGGCTTATCGAAGCCGAGATAGGTATTGCCCGTTCTCTTGGGTTTACTTGTTTTGAGAAATCAAGTGCCATGGTCCGGGCGGTCCTTCCCGTACGAGAAACGTTCTATTCTTTTTTGTTTCCCACGTGATAAGGCCGCTCGGTACTAACATTTTCCTTTGTCATTTTCTAGCTCCCAATCCAGACGCACCTATGGACAATAGCCGTGTTCTTGCAGCTGGTGGGGTTGGGAAACGGAAAAAGGCAAGGAAAAATCCTCAACCCAATCCTTCCACCACCATTGCTCAGGATGCCGGGTCTTCTCAACCCGTTCAGGAGCCCCAACCAATTCAACAGGCCCCTCATCAGGACCAATTTGATGCCATGCTGATCGATGATCGGTTCGGATCTGATCAGCTACATCAATTCCCTGAGCATTTCCAGGCTGCTCAGGAGACTAATATGACTGCAGGTGAGACCAACACTGTCCACCTTGCTACACAGGTCGAACGGATCTCTCTGGCGGATCGAGTTCATGACATGTTGGAGAAAGCTGGTTCTCCTGCAAGCCAAATTTGGTCCACCTCTTCATGGTTCAATAACTTCGCCGTCCCTAAGATGTCGGTCGAGCAATCCGAAGAATGCTTGGCTTTGGCGGATCTGAAGGTATCTCACCTTTTCCTTATAGTTTTCTCATAGTTTAAATTCTGTTTTACACCATCTCATTTCTCGAACGACATTCTGCAAGTTGGGCTCTACAGTCTGCAGCTGAAAGAGGCTCGACTGGCTAAAGAGCGAGACCTGATCGTCGCTCAGACTTCTGCGTAGCAGAATGCGGCTGCTGCCTTTGCCGCTTTGGAGACCGAACGGAAGGCTTCCGTGGAGGAGAAGAGACGCCTTGAGTCAGAGCTTGGTGAGCTCAGGGTTCAGCTCGGGGCCTTCCAAGCCAAAGTTCACACTGTTGAAGCTGCTTTGGTGAAGTTCGTAGAGAGCGCTCCCCGTATCCCGGACGACCCTGGTGAGGTGAAGGTTGATCTATCTGCCGTCCGGGAAGCATTCAGAAGGTCTTAGGAGTTTGCTGCCCTGAAGAAATATTATGCGCAGTAGGAACTCCCGGCCACCTTCGGTGCTTATCTCGATCGATTCTGCATGGGGGTTAAACTGCTCGACCAGGATCCAAGGGGCAAAAAATTCAATGACTCCCTGGCCCGATCTCTTTACGTCATGGGCTGCCAGCATATCTTGGACCCCTTTGTTGCTAAACTGCAAGAGATGCTAGGGAGGCCGGTCGAGCTGTCTGATCTTCCCCAGGTGCCCATCGTTGAAGCCCAATATGAGAAATATCAAAGGGACTTGCAACGGGTTGCTGATCGTGAAGCGGGGAGAGAGCCTGATCCCCCCACTGATTCGAATGAGGAGGAAGGTGATGAAGAAGAGACTTGGGAGGGCCAGTAGATTTAGAATTTTGTTTTTTATCAATTGTAATCCCTTCCCCCCTTCTCCTTTTTTGCAAACCATTATTGTACTTTCCGGCCGATAGAGCCGATGAATACATATGATATATCTTTTTCGCACAAAGCTTCTCATATTGCCTTTCTTGCCTTTTTTGATTTATTGCTTACCATTCGGGATTCAGTACGTTTTTTAGGACTTAGCAGTTTTTCTGGCCTCATTTTGACCATTCTTCATATCATCGTTTGGGCTTCAGATGGTTCTGACAATTTACCAGGATTTGGCCTTTCTCTTGTGTCGATAACCATTCGGGCTTCGGATAATTCTGTAGGACTTAGTCGTTTAGTGAATCTTTTGTTTATAATATCCTCATCTATTCCACATAACTGTAAATAGAAACCATGTTCGGTTTATCTTGTTGCCCTTATCTTTTGATTCGTTCGAATCCCGAATTTTCTCCATCCTGCCGATCTTTATCTGTTGTTCTTCAAATACTACTCGTTTGGGGTCTCAAAGGACATTTGTTTCAAATTTATGGTTTATGCCGACCTTGGCTCGGGATGTCTCTTAGTACGCTCATCGTTCAATCTTTTTAGGATGGCTTTCCCAAAACTGTTAATCCGTTTTTCATGAATTGCCCATTTAACCGTTCGGGGAACATGCTAAATTATCATAAATGTACCATAATTTCGTACAACCACATTTCATCACGTGTCCTTCATGGGTTAGGGTTTTGGGCGGACGTTAAATGGACAGTTTATGGATGATTCAATGCCCAACGGACTGGTCATTGATGTCCAACGTTCAGGTCCATTAACACCCCATTTAACACACAACAAATCCTCATATAAAAGGCTGACAGGTGCTTTGCAACAAACACACGGTTTTGACAACGCACAATACATTCCTCACGAATTTCTTGAGCTAAAAACACTTCCAGCTACTCTGCAAATTCCTTCTGTGTTCATACTTGGTTCTCGTTCGCTGGAACTCTTGTTTGTGTGCTCAAACATTAGTTCGTAGTCGTCGTATCCTGGGAAACGATTGTTGCAACGCTCCTAGCACCGTGGGAGGCGACAAATACGTTTTAAGGACATCGCGCGTAGCACAAGCTTTGACTAATTCTGCTTCATCTCGTTTCTTGTTTTTCTCTAGTCATTTTATTTATTTAATTAATTTTAATTAATTTCGTTTATTTTCCGAAACACACGCTACAGTGTGTAAGATAAATGATAAAGTAGAAAAGATAGTATATTTAGAAGAGTAAAAAGATGATAAGGTAGAAAAGAGAGTATACTAAGAAGAGTAAAGTGATGATAAAGTAACAAAGAGAAAATAACATGTAAAAAGTAAAAGGGGTAAAATTAATAAAATTGAGGTATTTATCTCAAAAACTTTCCTAAAATGGAAAGAACGACAATTAATAAAAAAACGGATCAAAATGGAATAAGAGACAATTATTAAAGAACGGAAGGAGTATATAGTTTGATTTTAATTAATACTCCCTCCGTCCCGCTAACAATGGGACAAGGAGTGACACATAAATCAATAAAAAGTGGTTTATGTTTTTGATATTGAAGTGATAAAGCAAGAATAAAGTAATAATGATTTAGAGCCACACAAACTTTGCCAAATTTGGTACGAGACAATCTTAGTGGTACGGACCGATAAGGTAAAACGGGACAATCATAACGGGACGAAGGTAGTAACTTCTTATATTTAACGATTTGAAAATATATTTACAACCTTTCATTCATATGATTTTTATAGAACTTTGGGAAATATCGATTTGTTATATTGATTTACCGATATTAATTAAAGAATTCAATTACATTATAATAGATTTTTTAAATTGAAACATTTAATTATATATTCTAAATCTAAATACATGAATTAAGTTACTTTATTTTTTAGGTACATAAAACAAAGGAACAGGGAATACTTATAGCTTCCAAATGTGAAATATCTTTGATGGGTGTCCAAATATGATCAAAAAAACATCAAAATTGATCTATTTGAAACTGTACTGTTCAATACGAGATGCATATGTAATGATAGTGTTCAATTTGATATATATGAACCCTCATAAATTCTAAATTCTTGTAAACCTTCTTATCCCCTCCAAAACAACTCCGAAACATAGCCAGACAAACTGGTTGGTCATAAACTCATGATCATAGCGTTCCAACACTCATCCGCGGGAATAATGGGTATCGGCAAGATTCAAGGTGCATCGCCTTATCTAAATTTTCCATCTCCTTCTTCTTCTGCCACTTCACAATATCATTACTTTCACAACCCACTCCACTTTCCGACTACACTTAGAACTCAAATATTCGAACTCTACCGTTCTTCTCCAACAACACAAACTGAAATAGTTAGCACCACTCCCAAAAGGAAGAAGAGAAAGCCCAGGTCAAGCTTTCTTGAAAAGATCCATGAGAAATGGCCTCTAGAGCACACTTCTTCGTGGAAAAATATTCCCTGGCAAGAACAAAATCCAGAAACAATAGTAGAACAAACTCCATACCCTAGGCTGTCATGCACTGTGAATAGAACTGATAATAAGGAAGAAAAAGTAGAAACCAGTGACTCAATGAGTTGCAATTCAAAGATTCAAGAGCTGAAAGTCTTAGATGGAGAGGTCAATTCTAATTCTGAAGCAGTTAAGTTTGGTGGGGATTCGACCTCAATTTTAACATCGCAGAAAGGTCAAATATTGGACCGAGACCTTCATCTTCGTGGGAATTTACCCACTGGTTCTGTTCCTGAATCCAATTGTGATGTTGCAGGAGTACACAGAGGAGTTAATGTTAAAGAGTTAGGCAATGCTAAGGGGTTGAGTGCTCATAAAAATGGGTTAAAATGTCCTTGGGAAGGAGAAAGTGAATGTAGGGGGGAAGAGAAGTCAGGAATGAGCTATGCACAGTTAGCAGATAAATCAATTCCTGAGGTTGAGCTGAAGAGGCTCAGAAACGTGGCATTGAGGACAATTGAGATAATAAACGTTGGAACAACTGGTATTACACAGGCACTGGTGGTATACATTCATGAGAAGTGGAAGGAGGATGAGATTGTGAAGTTGAATTTTGTGGGGCCCCTCTCGCATAACATGGACAGGACACAAGAGATACTTGAGGTGAGCGCTTATCTATTGTGCACATTTTCATTTTTTAGTTAGAAATTAGAAATGAATGAGGTTTGGAGTCACTAAAGTAGGTCATAAAATATTTGGGCCAAATTTGGAATATAAAATTCAATCTATTAGCTAGTTCAACACAATGCCTTATTAACCCATCATTTCTTAATTTTCCAGTGTGAGACTAACATTAATTCATAAAGTTAAGTTAACATTTTGGAGTCAGATTGCTGTGTTTAGTGTTCCTTCGTACCAAGTACCAGTGCAAACAAGTTTTTATTCATCCTGATTTGAGTGTTATTTGTTTTGTTGCTTCTGATGAGGTGAATTATTTTCTTTCTAAGGAATTGAGTGTTAGTTTGTTGCTGATGCACTTGTATGGAATTATTTTCTTTCTAGAGTGTTTACCTTGTGCCCCTTTTTCTTCTATGATAATGATATGAATATGGTTGACCATTGTGCCGTTCAGGCTGAAACAGGAGGAATAGTGATTTGTAGGTCGGGCTGCTCAATAGTGATATACAGAGGACTATTGTACACATATGATTATGTAAAATCAGTAGTTAAACAAAGTCAGTTTAATTTGAATCCATCAAAATCATCAAGAGATTTGGTGGCTAAAGGTGGAAATGGATTGTTGGACGGAGCATCTAAATCTTATTTACATAGTCAAACTGAAGAAGAAAAGACGGATTTAAGTGAGCTCAATCCTCCTTTAATTGAGCTGGGCCCACGTGTTGAAGATTGGAGTGGTGGTCAACCACTCCCTATTGATGCTGATTTGTTGCCTGCTGTTGTTCCTGGATATAGGCCTCCTTTTAGACGTGTCCTTTACGGTGTCAAGTACAATTTGAGAGAAAACGAAAAGGCACACCTTAGAAGGACAGCAAAAGCGATGCCCCCACATTTTTCCCTAGGTATGATATTTTCTCCTTTTCCTCATATATATTAAAGCACAACTATGAGGACTTGGGTTACATCCTAAAATGCTGGCCCGATAGTAAGATAAGTCCAAGTTATTTTATGTTAGTTTGTTATTTTATATTCAGCCAGCGTAGGAGAAACTACTCAACACCTCATTTCAGACGTGCTTTTTGGCTAAATAGGAAACACCTTAGGTTCTTCACATGCCGTTTGGACTTTGCAACTTTTTGCATGAGGTACATACCAGCCCGACACTTCATGTGAACCTTGCACTTAATTTATAGAATTTCCATCACCATGATTATGAATCGGGTTATATCTGATACCAAATTAAGATAAGACCTACATCCGTTAAGTTCTAATATGTGGAGTAGCCCAATGTCTTACAAAGTATTCCCTTCATCCCCTATCTTTGTCCCATTTTACCTCTTTCGTTTGTCCCATATCACATTTGGTAATATTTGGATGATTACAATTCATTACTACTTTATTCACACTTTACAATTTAATGCCCAACCACACAATTCCTCTTTTCTTAATAACCGCACAAATCCCTCTTGTCCCAATGTTAGGGGCACGGAGGTAGTATATGTTTTTATGTTATATTCAGCTGATGTAGGACAAACTTTTTAACAATAACCATTTATTTCCTTTTTCAACTTGTTATTTTTTTTTATTTGCATAATACATCAGGAAGAAACAGAGTGCTGCAGGGATTGGCTGCTGCTGTGGTGAAGCTGTGGGAAAGAAACATAATTGTGAAGATTGCCATCAAACGCGGTGTGCATAATACATGCAGTGAGAGGATGGCAGAAGAACTCAGGGTTAGTTTGGAAACCAAGCACCTTCACAATAAATTAAAGGGAAATTGGAAACTAATAATCCAACCTTTTGGCAGTCTTCTTACACTAGTCCCACCTTTTGATTATTCAGGAGTAATCCAACCTTTCCACCCCATCTTCATTCAATGGTCCCTGATCGGTTGATGACCTGCTATTCCAAGTTATTTTCTTATCTTTTCAATATATTATACCATAAATCTCATCTTACGATCACATAATGTTTTGCAAAGATAAGAAAATAACTTGGAATAGCAGGTCATCAACCGGTCAGAGACCATTGAATGAAGATGGGGTGGAAAGGTTGGATTATTCCTGAATAATCAAAAGGTGGGACTACTGTAAGAAGACCGCCAAAAGGTTAGATTATTAGTTTCCATTTTCCCTAAATTAAATGTTTCAGAGTCCTATTTCCATGCTGACAATGAATCAAAATTATTATTAGGTGTTGACCGGAGGAACACTCTTGTCACGGAATAAGGAATATATAGTCTTTTATAGGGGTAATGACTTCTTGGTGCCTGTTGTGGCAGAAGCACTTAAAGAAGCAGAGTCACGAAATGCTCTCCAACAAGAAGAGGAAGAAGCACGTAAATTGGCTTCAAACTCTATATTCGCAAGCTGCAGGGATGCTAAACGGCCATTTGTTGCAGGAACTCTTGCTGAGACCATAGCTGCAACTACACATTGGGCTACCCAACCCATTACTGTTCAAGAGAGAGAGAAGATGATGAAAGATGCAGCTGAAGCAAGGCATGCTTCTCTGATTAGATTTCTTGAACAGAAGCTAGCTTTTGTAAGTTTGTTTGCTAAAGGTCTTTTTGGATTTTGTAAACTGCTAGGGAAATGGGGGGAAATGCCAAGGAGTTTTCCTTGTTTGGTTTTACAGGAAAATGAAATTTGGTAATTTTTTTAGATATTCGTTTTGCATTTTTTAAATTTCATCGATCTTTATAAAATAAAAGAAATAATTACATATTCATGACTAAAATAAAAATTATTTACAAAAATATTATTAGTAACTAGAGTAGTAATGGAATCAAAATAATTTATGTTCAATTTTTAAATTCAAGCTACCATGACACACTACATTGTAGTAATTATTAGTCATATTTGTGTAAATAAGTTTTATTTTAATAATATTTTTGTAAAATCCAAAATAAAAGTAATTCAATAAAATGATTTTGAACAAATATCGTATACGTGCATAAATTTAATGATTATAAACCAATATTTTATTTCCCCCAAAGTTTTTTTTCCCAAAACAAACCTATAATTTCTTTCCATACTATTTTCCAAGTTCCAAATGGATCCTAAATGAGTAGGTTACCTTAGAAGTGTGTGAACTATTTTATTACTGATTTTTAAAATGTTTGCAGGCAAATAAGAAAGTGAAGAATGCTGAGAAGGCCTTACGAAAGTTACAGAAAAATCTGGAACCATCTGAGCTGCCAATTGATTTGGAAACGTTAACTACTGAAGAGAGGTTTTTATTCATTAAAATGGGTCTGAGCATGAAACCTTATTTGCTTGTAGGTAACAGAGGCTGCTCCTGCAATAATTTTATTTGCTTTCAAGAGTAAACCACAATATCCAATATGTTCTTTTTAACTTTTTTTTTGTATTTAGGGAGGCGGGCCGTTTTCGATGGTACCATAGAGAACATGCATTTACACTGGAAGTATCGGGAGTTGGTAAAGATAATTGTTGAGCGAAAAACTTTGCCACAAGTGAAACATATGGCAATTACCCTTGAGGCTGAAAGCGGTGGGGTTCTGATATCTATTGAAAAAACCACTCAAGGCCATGCAGTCATCCTTTATCGCGGGAAAAATTATCAGCGGCCTTGTGAACTCAGACCAAAAAATCTTCTAACTAGGAGGCAGGCGTTGGCACGTTCAATTGAACTACAGAGAAGGGAGGTAATTACAGTTGTCACTCTAACTTTCCAGGTAGGATTAGACAAGTCTCATTCTTCGAGGCTATAAAGTTGATCACATATCTGTTCTTTTAATACATTCCAGGCACTAAAGCATCATATATTGGTTCTGAAGGATAAAATTGAGAATCTGAAATCTGAACTGGTATGTTTCTTCCCGTTTTGATGATAGTAGTAGTAATTGTAAATTTGGAGTGTTACCCAGGACAATCATTCCCTGCTCTAATAATGTAAATGTTGTTGAAAAATGCAAAGGCTGAAACAAATACTGAGAAGGAGATTGATGAGGCGGCCTTGTACTCTAGGTTAGATGCTTTTGCTGACGATGAGGACTTGGAAGAGGTAAGAACCCCTTTTCATTTTCTTCTTAAATAGTAAGGATGTTTTCTTTTAGACTGAAATTTGTTGGTCTGGTTTGGTCTCTGTGTTTTATAACTATGAAAGTCTGGTCTGGTCTGATCTGATCTGATCTGATCTGGGACTGAAAACAGTCCAAAAGAAAACATCCTAAGAGCAAGAAGATGTCTACTTGGTGACCTAATGGCATAACCCGAATGATGACTCAAGACTCAACCGTTGAACCATCAAGTCGTGTTTACTTACCAATTTACCATTTAATTGGAAACACAACTTATTTATTCAGCCAAAAGGTGGCAATCATTACACGAGTGTTTGCAAACACTTACAAAAGGTGCCTTTTAGCTTTTGGCTTAAAAAAACTGAAATGAGTGTTTTCAAGTGACAAATTTTGCTTAAATTAAACACTTAAAAGCTAAAAGCTGGAAGCACGTGAAGAGGTGCTTTAAATGCTTTTCACTTTCTCTTTCACAAAAACACTTTTTTGTTTTTTTGCCAAACACTACCAACTTTTACTTTTAAAAAACACTTTTTGAGATCTCAAACACTACAGACTTTTACTATTAAGCACTTTTTCTAAAATCATTTAAAAAAAAACACTTTTTGAAAGTAGAAGCAATGCAAACACTCCCTAAGTCTTATACTACTCCTTATTCAAACGTCTATAAGTCTATTCAGCCTTATTCTTAAGAAGCCAGGATGGAATAGACACCTTTTAATAAATGAGATTACTCATTGACTACACTAACAAAAATAATTTTATATTGGTTATTTTACGTATTAATGTAGACAATTTCATAGATCACATAAACTTTGTTCATATTGCAGGGTGGTTCATTTCGAAATGCAAGTTTCTATTATTTTCCACGTTATAAAATGGTCCAGGAAAATCCTTAACAGCATATAAGTTTTACTCCTAGTTATGATATAGGGATTTCCTGATCTTTTAGTTGTCAAGCTGATAACCGTAGTTAAAATGTGAGTGCTATGTATATTTTGATTATGTGTTTTCTGGTTCAACAACCTTGGTCTTTGACATATTTTAACTTGATTGGCTATGCCTTTACATCATGTTGTCATGTTCTTTTTACGCAGGAAGAGACAGATGAGGTGGATCTAGAGGAATAACATAGGAAGCAGTCATGATGGAAAGCGCAACTCCTGGGTACAGTATGCAGGTCTCATAAGCCACTCTGTGGTGTTTTCCCGCTACCAGTTGTCTTAGAATCTCTTTTTTTTTTGTCATTTGTTCTGGAAACTGATTTTTATTTGTTAGCCAAGTTTTTAACCAAGTATAAACAAGTGGTTTGGTAAAATTACCAAACGATCCCTGTGGTTCCTGAAATCATGAATACATCTCCGAGTCCAGTATTCAAATAACACAGTATTATTATATTATTAGTAGGATTTGGGAGTTTAATAATACGGACCTAATTACAATGATAGAAAATTCCCAATTGCTCTACATTACTCAAATATTCAAATGACACTACATTTCCGTCAATTAATAAGATGCAATAAAAATACAAAGGTCAGTCTAAAAAACTTCATCCATGCTAATGTCATGACATCATATTATATTTCTGTTTTAAAGGTGCCATTCACAAAAATTTGACCGCCAAAAGGAACCATTTGTTATTTTCTTAAAATAACATCATGGAAAGTTTAATTCAATTTGTGAATTAAAATTCATAAATGATAAGATATCATCATAGGTTTTTATTTTCACTTGCATGGAAATATCAAGCTGACGGCTACGAGTTCAGATAGTTGCTACTTTCATGGTTTTCTATGAGTAGTGGTTATGTCAGAGTAGAATATTTTATGCATGCTTACCTCTATTCTGGTAACTGGAAAATGCTAGGGAACAAGTATCTGAATCTCTAATTACGGATCATTTTACAAGAACAACTTTTTGAATACAGAGCTCCTTCAGCTGAAAAAAAGTAGAAACTGAGCTGAAGCGACGAGTGCTATTTCTTTGCTACATGGTCTTTCCTGATTGCCAAAGCAGCCACAGTACTTAGTATGCAGAGAAGTAACTTGGACTGCGAGATCTGAGAAAAACTATCACAAGTACAAAACATTGGTTGCTAGAAGTGGCTGGGAAGCTGTCAGTCTGCTAGGATCTGAGAGGACCTCAGAAGAGTATTATGGTATGAAGTGGATGAAACTCCACTGTAGAAGCTTCTTTTCTGCTTCCCATCTTGATCCCCTAGTTCTTATGCTCCTCACATTGTAAGATTTTTATTTTTGTAACTACTGAGTTTTTAGAGACATTTAACTACTGAGTTGAGACTGTAAAGAACCCACATATACTGAAACATATAGGAAGTGAATGAAGTATGGAGTATATCACTATATCGTAACTGTCATGTCCACTAAATAGTACGGAGTATTCAATAGTAAAGAGTGTGGACTGTGGACAAAACCAAGTGTTGGAAAAGGAAAATTGCAAGGATTTTGAAATTGAGAGAATCTGTGAAAAGCACAAACCTTACATTCTACTGTTGGGATTCAAGAGGGCATTAAGGAAAATAAAGGAAGAAAAAAGGATGCATCCTACGTGGATTTGTTTAAGTTTCAAACCAGATCACATATAAATATAAACAGATTAATTTAGATTTAATTACTTATTAAATACACGTAATGCAAACCTTTACTACGCTAGCTTAGATCAAATTAGAAAGTTCGAAGTGAAAACATTCTAATAGTGCTAAAAGCCCACACTATTGCTAGATAAAAATGCTATTGATACGATTTTCATGGTGTGCATTTACTTCACATATTGCTAGATCGAAGCAGAAAAATGTTATTGGTACATTTTTTGTACACACTTGTCACACACTAAATACTTTATATTTTTATCAGTTCAATTTCACATTCTACCTCATCCTTTCCTCTCTCTTTCTATCCATAGCGTTTTCTCCGCATCATTCCACCCCCACCCCACCCCTATTTTCATCACCTTCACATTCACTTCATCATCTTTCATCTTTCTCACTCCATCTCCATCATCTTCCATTTTCATTTACCTCATCATATTCATCATCTCTCATCTTCACCAATCCATATCCATCACCTTCTAGGATCAGAAAAAGTGGATTTTGAATGTCACCGGAAAAATGTCTACATACTAACACTAAGTTTTATAGTGTCTAAGTGCGCATAAAAAATTGCTACGCACAGATAAAATATGCACACAATGCCTGTGTACAGGCAGTTAATGTTTTTGCACAAATATTGGTTTCTGTGCAACTAAACTTTGACGTTTCTGCAAAACACAACGCGCAAAGCAATATCCTTAAACAAACATTAGTTGTCTGTACAGAGACAATTTCTACAATTTTCATCCGTGTGTCGATAAAATTGTTAAGCACAAACAAAAAGTATACAAATTGTTTGTGTACAGACAACTATTTTTTGTGCATCACTTACATTAATTTTTGTGGAACCAAACTCTAACGTTTGTTCAAATTAACAAGCAAATCAATATCCATATACAGACATTAGTTGTCTGCGTATAGACAATTTCTACATTTTTTTCCTGTGTCCAGGTAAAATTGTTAAGCACAAACAAAATATGTAGAAATTGTCAGAGCACATACAACTGATGTTTGTGTATGTCCAGGACATTTATTTGTGTGTTGTTCAGTAGAAATGTCAGGGTTCGGTTGTACGGAAATTAGTTATCTCTATACAGGTAATTTAAACATTTTTTCTCTGCTTAACAATTTTGATTGGATACACAGACACTAAAAACTAATGTTAGTATATAGACATTTCTTTTTGACGACTTTCCGGTGACTCAAATGTAGTTTTTCAGATCTTAGAAGATGATAAGTGTAATCCTGAAGATGGAAATGAATACGGAAAATGGTAAAGAGATGGGACGTGATTAATATGGTGAGATAGATGAGAGTGGAAGATTGTGAAGATAGAGATGGAGTATGAATGTATGATGAAGACAATGACAATAAAATTTGATAAATATGGAAGATGATGAAGATAGTGATTATGATTGTGATTTGAAGGTGATGAAAATTGAAGAAAGAAGAGAAGGGAATGGGGAAAGATATTTTCGTATGGAGTGAGAGAGGGAGGAGTAAAAAAGTGGGTCTTTATATACCATGTACACATATTGTGTATTGTGTACACCCTAGCATAATAGTTCTAAAACTAAATTTGTTGACAATATACTTGTATACCCATCAGGCCATCACTTAAATCCTATGTTGCACGGAAACGTGAAAATCACAAGGAAACGGGAAACGGGAAACGTCAACTTTTGCTCAAAAAACGCTTATTTGGAGAGTTTCCAAAGAGTTTCCGAAACGGGAAACGTACTCTTTCCCAAGAGTTTCCGTGCTACATAGCTTAAATCTTAACCGAGGTGAATGCACTCAAGAAGTCAAGATGTTACACGCAAGGAAGAAAGAGAATTCAATAGATTGTTTTATTGAAAGGCCAGAGTCTGGAACTTGGGTATTGCAAAATAGAGATGAAAATCATTATTTTTAAATAAATCGAATTTAACAATTTAACACTACTCTAGAAGAAAGGTTCATGAATCATGATAACAGAACAAAAGAATGTTTCGCCACCACTAGACACTAGTATTTCAGAACAAATTTATACAAATCCCTTTGTGGTATCAAACAAAACCAATACAAAATATACCCTTTTAATTGAACAGAGAAAGGAATACAGCCATACAGGGGAATGAAAATTAGCTTCCAGACATCACATATCTCTTGATCATTTTTTACAGAAAAGCTTCTACACGAGCAGATCAAGTTAGCACTTCCCCGTTTCAACCATCTTCGTAACACACCTATATTCCTCTAGAGTTAGATGAACATATGCAAGATGAAATAGCAACAATAGACTAAGCGCGTCTTTTACTCAACCGCCATGAATTTGGCTCATGATATCTGTCATAGAGAGGCTCAATGCGCTCCTGTCTCTTTCGTTTGCTCATCTTTGTTGGGTCAGCCACTTTGAAATATCTTGGTGCCAGCTCTACAAGCCACTTTGGGTCGATCACAGTGACCTCACGCATATATTCTTTGGTTGTCATGACGAGCTCGTGATAGATGACCCAATCTGGCTGCCGTTGGAATAGAGCACTACTTGGGTGTATATACACTGGTTGGTTCTCAACCAGGGTTCTATAACCCTCTTGTGGATCCTTCCTAGAGGCATGGAAGAAGAAACCTGCTGCTATAGCCTTCCTTATCTTTGTGAAATTCTTCCCAGCACTCACAACATCCAGTTTGTACCTAAATAATGAACATAATAGGATGAATTAGCAAAAAGGAATTACTATCTTAATAAAACAATGAGGTTCTGATCTAAAACATCAATATAAACTAACAGTCCGTATAGTCCCTGACTGGTAGTCAAAAGCTTCTTAGAGTAAGCTACAAAAAGGCATAAAATTACTAAAGTTATGGGTAAACCGACTGCGGATGTTTACACTTGGACAGAGACTTTCAGATCTGGTTTTGTTTGTTCAAATGAGGTGGTCTGGTCAAAGACTGAAAGTAGTTCAAGTGCAAACATCCTGAATGATCTAAAAAGCAACTTAATATTTAACTTTTAAAAAAATGTAGTATAGAAGCGCTTATGCATTTCAGCAATTTCAACAAAAGGGTAACTTGAATGCTTTTTCCCAACATCATCTGAATTTTGTGACTGCAATGACAATAGTTGGTGTTTGGTGACATATTTGGCAGGAATGTTTCTACTTATCAACCGAATATGTAGCTTTTGACTTGCTTATTTGGCTTATCAAAGACTTGTGCTTTCACAAAATTTAGCAGAGCATTTTAAGCAACCATAACCTTTACCAAACGGGCACCCTACTTTCTTTTAGTTTCATTAATGATAAAATGTATATTGACAAGATAGAAGAAGGATTAGTACTTGTCCATGATTGAGAGAAGTTGTTTCCTGACATCTTGAGCACGCCTCAATGACCTTGATTGCACAAAGTTTTCAAAACACCAGGGTCCAGAAAAACTCTTAGCTTTCCATGCCTCATAAACAGCAAGCAAGGTAAGATGATCGCCCTCAGGTTGAAAAAACTTAGCCCTTTTCTGATCAGCCTGTGCTTGCTTCTCCCGAGGCCGGTAAAATATGTTGCCCGTCTGAATCATTGCAATGATGGTCAGAATCTCATCACTGCACCCCAAGTCCACACTGGCAAGAAGCATTTTGGACAGAGGAGGTTCCAGAGGGAATTCAGCCATTTTCCTACCCAGCTTTGTTAAAAGCCCTTCTTCATCAAGTGCTCCTAGAGTATAAAGCTGTTCCATGGCAGATATCAGTGCTTGAGGAGTGGGAGGATCCATGAAATCAAAGGACAATAGATCATTGATACCCATAGCTTTCATATTAAGCACTGTCATCCCGAGGTTAATACGCTGAATTTCAGGGATCGATGTGGGAGACATTTCATTGTGAAAGGCACTCTCAGTATAAAGACGATAGCACTTCCCTGGTCCAGTTCGGCCAGCACGACCAGCTCGTTGCTTTGCCGAGGCTTGTGATATAGGGGTTATGACCAACGAATCAAGACCCAGTTTGGGGTTATATACATTTTGCTTAGCAAAACCAGGATCAATGACATAAAAAATACCATCTATAGTCAAAGAAGCTTCAGCAATATTTGTAGCAACTACAACTTTTCTCTTACCTGGAGGGGCAGGGTCAAAGATCCTAGACTGCATTTCACTTGGGAGGGCACTGTAAACAGGCAGAATGATCAATTCCGGAACATTCTTACCCAGACCTTTCATCCTCTCATAAAGACACTGGCAAGCATAGTCGATCTCCTCCTGACCAGTCAAGAAAACAAGGACATCACCTTCAGGTTCTGTCAAGTGAATCTGTAAGACTGTTATCAAAGCAGCATCAAGATAGTCACTCTCAGGTTGCTTTGTGTAGAGTATCTCCACCGGAAAGGTTCTCCCCGGGATAGTAAAGATATTGCAGTTAAAGAAGTATCCGGAAAACTTCTCAGCATCTAATGTTGCAGACGTGACAATCAACCGAAGGTCAGGTCTTCTCTTCACCAGTTGCTTCAACAGACCAAAGAGAACATCAGTATGGATGGTTCTCTCGTGAGCCTCATCAAGCATCACAACAGAATACTGTGAAAGATTCTCATCCACCAGAATCTCCCTCAACAACATACCATCCGTCATATACTTGATCACTGTTTCTGGCCCTGTACAGTCCTCGAAACGAATGGCATATCCAACTTCTTCCCCTAACCGACAACCAAACTCCTCTGCAACTCTTTTTGCCACTGACATTGCAGCCACTCTGCGCGGTTGGGTACATCCAATTTTTCCTCTGGTAGTGTAGCCAGCCTCAGCT